AGAGAGAGAGAGAGAGATTCATAGCAGTAGCCCTCCCTCGAGCAGAGATATTCTATTATGACACGATCCTACCCGCGTCGTCATCTTAAAAGATGAGAAAATTATGATATAAACTGTTATTGGCATCGCGGAGAGGATATTACATGCGGGTTACGTGCCCAGTGGCGATCACATATTTATTGAATCGACGAGGTAACCAGCGGTGGCTTAATATAATTCTGTGTGTACGTGAAGCATCATAGCCGATCCGAAGGACATTGGCGACGATTTTACCGCTATTTTAATAAAAATATTTCAATACCATTCGCGAAATGATATTCTAATCCGCTCTTTTGGAATGTATCTTTTTTAACTTAATTATTAAATTATTTTCACTTGTGTAAACTTATAATAGCCGGATTTAACAAAGTTTTTCACCGAAGTAACGAAAATTGCAAAAATATTCTGCAAATGAGAATTTTTACGAGCTACAAATGCGATTTTTATTAAAGAAAACTTCCGCGCGGACAAATAAACCCAGTTTTCCGACTTACGAGCGACAGCCTCCGTTCGAAAGTCTACGCGCACGTTAAGCAGCTCAAGTTTCTTCCGAGGGCTAAATGCATATAACCGTACGATTTTTACCTCGCGTCGCGAAGTTTCGCGAACAGATTTATTGTGAAAATGCTTTCATTGTGAAAGTTTACAAGAGGTTGCTGGATGAAACATCGTCGGGATGAAAAATTTCATCGGCGAAATTCAATTATAAGGTGGGTTTAATTGCAAGAACGGCATCTCTCGGTATTCTTCAACTTGTGCCAATACTTTTTAACTTTCATGCTCGCGGCAGCGGTAACTACATATTGCATTTTTTTTTTATTTGTAGAAAGCATCCGGGTCGTAGGTGCAAATATTGCTCGAGAAACATTTAGTTATACTTTAATGTAAACTACTAAATATGTATTTTAGTCGCTTATTCTAGACGTCCTAATTTAGCGGCAAGACTCAAGAGCCTGCCTTAAATAAATGTGCATGTTAACATGTGCAGGACGGAGATAATTCGATAATTCGAGCTATTTCGCGAGTTTATCAGCTGAATTATTCCGCGAAATTCATACACACACACACACACACACATACACACACATACGAGCGTGACTGCGCGCGAGTGACAAAGGTCAAGCGGTAAGCCAGCCCGGTCTTATGTATGCATATACGTACATTTTTAAAGTAACCCGTCGCATTCAAGCGTCCGAGTGATATATAAACCGAAACATTCTTGGACTCTCCCGCGGAGTAGGAGAATGGCGGTTGGATTCGCGCACAGCTTAACCCTTTGGCCTACAACCACGAGTAAGACTCGTGGTAAGGAATTTGGTCCCTAAGCAATAAGCACGAGTCTGACTCGTGGTACTTCAACGCGCGACCGACCTTCCTGTTTACTATGGCCCGAGCAATCGGGAGAAAGCGTGTAGGTCAAGTGGTTAAAATAGCTCAAATATACGTAAGGACGACGCGATCTTTAAGTTCAAATTGGGTGGAAAAAACAATGATTTTAATCGAGTTTAGTGCCGTCGACTTATTTTGAACGCATTTTTGCGATATTTTTATTTCAATCAAATATACTCCTCAGAAGCGTATTATTATGTTTATAAAAAAAAAGAAAGATTGTCGCTTCTTTTAACGGAAAACAATATTTAAAGTAGATCAAATTTCGATTTTTTGGTGATAATTTTATTTCCAAGGAAAACGATTGTTTGCTTTGATTGGCTGTTCGGATATAAGAAGAGAACATAAATGCCGCTTATTAGTCTTCTAATTAATCGCGACGTAATCCAGCAGCGGAGAAATCAAAGCGCCGTGAGATTCGTCAATCACCTCTCTCTTCGCTTAATCAGCGCGACGGGCGGACAGAGCGTTGTTTGTTA